GACTTCTCACTGTGAGTTGTGTTGGGGAGGGTGCACGAAAGGAGGCTCAGCCAATCTCAATTGTACACATGTTTGACAATAAAGGTAATAATAATACTGCAGCTGCAGTTCAGTGTATTGAGGGGGAAAAATGGAGTCAAAGGGAGCTGTGCATCATTTATGAGCGAAGCCATTTCGGGCAGCCAGTGATATACAGTAGACATGAGATGTCCTTACAGATAGTCCTTGAGTTAATGACTGAGCCCAACATTTCTGTTGCTTACCAAGACATTTTTGCCCCATTTTACGATTTTCTTTGCCGCAGCTGTTAAGTGAATCACAGCAGTTGTGAAGTTATTAAATGAATCTGGCTTCCTCGTTGACTTTTCCAATCAGAAGTTCGCAAAAGGGGATCACGTGAGCCCCCGGGATACGGCAACCGTCATAAATAGGAGTCGGTTGCCGAGCGTCTGCATTTTGATCATGGGACCATGGGGATGCTGAAATAGCTGTGTGAAAGTCACTTTTATCATGTGTTCTGACCCAGGCTTCGTAAACCGTAATCACGCATTTTAAAAACAAGACTTATTTTATTGCAATGCTGGGAATTGTTTACATTCCCAGTCAGAATTAAGCTCAAACAGTCCCCTGAGATAAGCACACACCTTTCAGTTCTGTCAAATGCTGCCAAAAACAGAAGTATCAAATGAACTAGAAAAGAAAGCAACCAAAGTACAAAAAACAAAAACAAACGAAGTACAAAGAGCTTCAAGGATGATTCTGAACCAATCAAACTACTTTGCTTCCTGCAAAGGTTTCATCATCTTGGCCTGACTTTTATCCCTTATGGGAGGGGCAATCACCTCCCAGCCTTACTCCTGAGTTGCCCCTTTTGTTTCACCTGCTCTCGCCTTCTAGCAGCTCTGTGCACACATGCACTAGGAACAGGCTCCCCTTGTTCCTCTGCCTCGCTGCTGCCAGACTCCAAAGGCTTCAAAGGCAGCACCCCACTCCCAGCTGGTCCTGGCCCCATCTCTGCATCGGATGCAGGACCCTCATCCGAGTCCCCTCCACATTCCCTGACTGGTCCCCTTTCTTCCCCACTGTCCGATTCCACTGCTGGCTGCTGGCGAACCAGAACACATGTCATTTTTATCAGTGCCATTGCAACTGCAAACGGTCATATATGAATGATGGTTATAAGTTGAAGACTATAGCAGTAAATAAGCAGCCACATCTTTCATTTGCAAGGATCATATGGGGGAGCCATTACATTTTTAGGCCAGTAAGAGTCAGGTGGGCTTCCAGATCCCCCCCCCCCCCCCCCCCCCCTTTTGACCTGCAGGGTATTTAAGGAACAGAAAAGATAAAAGGAGATATGCCCAAGGGTTTGAAAAGATTTAAGATGGCCAACGAAGGTTACTTTGACGGCAATGAAACTGCTCCAATGCTCTTGCTTTTTAGGCACGGTAGTAACATTGAATTAGTTTGTGACAGCCAAATTGACTAAAATTATTTAAAGTAGACATTAAATTATATTTTGATCTGCTGGAGTATGTGGGTGTGTACACATATATACATATGTGCATATGAAATAAATACCTACTATTTTAAGAAAGGTTTTGTGAATATTCAGAGGAGGCGAGGAAGCAGAATTTATAACTAAGCTTTTTATTTTTATTTTTTTAATGTTTGATTTGATTAGCTAATACGTATGCATTGTATGAGAAGGAAAACAAAGCTGTTTTATGTTGCAAGTTAGGATAAACCAGCTCAGAATTTGTTACTTTAGTTGAGGAGAAATGTACAAACTTTTTAACAATGGAAACATAATGTATTATTGCAAATCAATTTTGGCTACAAAAAATATTATTGTTTATTGCTTGTCAAAGAAGCTCTTTTGTGACTCAAAAGGATTGTGTTTCTCTCATCATGAATGTCACGGAGTAATTAAATACTTCTCATATAGGAGAAGGAGTGGAGATTAGTAGGAACTTTTTATCATACTCCTACTCTTACTTAGGCTGAGTGTTTTAATGAGACATTGAAAACCCTTTTCTGCCTTCAAAGAAAATGTTCCATGCTCACGATCCCACATAAAGCTTAGCTAGCATCTCCTAGGTGACACTATTTTCATGCTGCATAGCCAATTTGTAATTACTGTTAAATTCTGTGCTTTTCTAAAATGGAGTTTTCAGATATACTGGAATTGACAGGATGCACATCTGTTTAATTGCATTTTCTAAATAAATTAATGTTTGTAATAAAATCTCGATTTCTAGCCTTCTTTAACAAAACCCTTAATTAAACCAGTTTGGTCTAGTGGTAAAGGCACAAGGCTACTGTGAGTTCTAATCCAACTGCAGGCATGAAAAACTGGCTGAGTGACTTTGGACCAGTTACTCTCTCTCAGCCCAATTCACCGCACAGGATCATTGCTGTGCTGAAAATAGGAATAAGATGTGTTGGATACGTTCACTGCCTTGAATTATTTATAAAAGTAATGAAGGTGGGAAATAAATCAATAAAAGGTTGAATCGCAGACCTGAGATAAGTGAACCAAAGTAAAAAGATGGTGAGTTTATGATCACACAGGAAAAATTTAAAATTATATCCCAATAATTGGCTTTAGCGCACTATGGAAGGAAACAGGAAGAATGGGGGGGAAAAGAATTTGGTTGTTCAGATATTCTTTATCTTCAAGTGGCTGCTTAAAGACGAATGGATTGTAGTCACAGTGCAGGTAACTAAATTATGTGCACTAGCACTAAAGATTGGTCAGAACATGATGAATAATCATTATAGCTTTTTTATATAATTAATGCACCAAATCTTTTGGTATTATGTTGCATTTTAGTATCTAATGACTATAGTCCTACACAATTAAAAGGATTGTTATATTATAGCTTAAGTTGTATTTTTGTTTACGTGTAGCTGACAGATAGGGTGCAAAATTATGATTGGTTTTATTTGATATTATTCTGTTCTACAATATTTAACTGGATACTCTTCTGAGTATTTTTAATTATACTGTGATAAACATTTGACTGATTGATTAAAAATAAAAAACAAAGTCTTCATGCTGGATATAGGTTGTCCTTATTTCTAATAGTTACAAGCTCAAGGCAATAAATAAATAAAAGCTGGCAAACAAGAATTTTCACAGAAAAAAATATATATATAGATCACTATTACTCTGCTTACAGTTGATTTATCATTGCATCAATCATCATCATTGCATGTTATAACTACAATCTTATCCAACTACAATCTAGGGTGTTTTGCCTTAACATTGATAAGCATTATCTCTGTTATATGGGTGGGAACCCTAATTGTTTTTGGGGTGTTGCAAGGAAATGGAATAAATAATCTAGAGTTGGATTGGGAGTGAGAGCAATTATCTTCTCAAATCTTCCCCAGCATGACATTAACTGACTGACCTTATATCTGCCATCTCGTTTAATTTAATGACATGGTTGGGATGAGATAAAGTGGATTCTTCAGCACTTCTCTCTTTCTGAAAAAAGACAACAGGTTGTTGTTTTCTTTGAAAAAGTTTCACTTCTTATTAAAGAAGCTTCTTCGGTGGAGAACTGAACTGATGAACTGAAGAAGCTTCTTGGATGAGAAGTGAAATACTGTATTTTCAAAGAAAAAACCAAGAAAGTTTTAAAAGGCAGCTATCGTAAATGGAGATTAAGACTCAGTGAGTTGAGTAGGAGGCACTTTGAGATAAACAGGCAATGAGACTTGTGTGGGTGCGTATTTTCTTTAGAGAAACAAGCCCTTGCAAAACAAAATTAGTTCATCCGGGTCAGTTTTTCTAATCTAGCTCATTTTGCATTTGAAAGTTAAAGGCGAAACAGCAGATTGTCAATGTTCTTCCATTAGGGGATTTACACCTGCCTTTTCTTTAGCACAGCAACTCCCTCCAGAGGCAGGTTGGCATTGAGCATGCCTGGCCAAAAAGGAGACTTCAACCTGAATATGGGTGTCCCTAGAGCCAACCTTCAAGTTAACCACAAGGTTAGGCATTATGCTGACATATACAACAATAATAATACTTCAGGATTGCCAAGAATCAGACGTCTGGTAGCCCTCTTTCCTGCTAACCCACATTATTAAAAGGCAGATGCTTTCCTGAGTGACAGTTCATTACATCACTAGAACTCTCTTTGTCCATCTGATAGGGTGACTGCAGCTTAGAAAAGTCTTCCTTCCTTCCTTCCTTCCTTACTTTCCTCCCTCCCCTCCCTCAATTCTTCCTTCCCTCCCTCCCTCCCACTATCCATCCATCTATTCTAAATTCTAGGCCTTCCTTCCCTCCTTCTGTTCTTCCTCCTTCCCTCCCTCCTACCATCCATCCAGCCATTCTAAAGTCTAGGCTTCCTTCCTTCCTCCCTCCCTCCCGTTCATTCATCCTTTTTCCCTCTCTCTGTTTTCTATCCAACTATCTTCTCCCTCCTTCCCTCCCTTCCTCCTAATACAAAACAAAAAAACAAAAACCTAAGAAAAAGGACGCATACAAAACGATAAGAGAGAGAAAAACGAAAACAGAGAGAAGGAAAATTTGTTTTTTGTTTTTCAAAAGACAGTATATATTTTGCAGACATAGACAAACGGAAGCCTCTCTTGAATTCCACCCGGGGATGATGCACAGAGAGGCTCCATCCACCTGGGCTGCCCTCTGAAGATGCTCGGGACCCGGGACCGGGTTGACGCCGGCGGTGAGACCCCCTTCCTCTCCGCAGGCCCGCCCCGCAGCCTCCGTGGATGGCCTGCCCTGCTCCTCCCCGCCGCCTGCTCCGGTCGCCCGGCAACGGCGGGGTCCCGGGCGACGAGGACAGAGGCGGGGGGCGGCGCGGGGACTGTGATCGCATCGGCGGCTCCATCTCCCCCGGCGGCACCAGGCCAGTATTCCTCGCGGCGGCCGCGGCATCCTCCTCGCCTCCCCCTGAGCGGCGGCGGAGCTCTCGGAGCCGGCGGGACACGGGCGTGGCGGGCGGGGAGGGAAGGAAGGAAGGAAAGAAGGGGAAGGAGCCCCAGGACCGGCCGGACGGCAGGCGGGATTATGGGGTGAGTGCGGGGAGGCAGGCGGGCGGGCGGGCGAGCGAGCGGGCTCCTGAGCGGGTGCAGAGGACCAGCAGCCCCAGCTTCCCTGCCTAGTCTGGCTCCCGGAGCTCGGAGGCTCCAGAACCCGGGCCGCCAAGGTAACGGTCATCCCGGCCGCGCGCGGAGCTCCTTCCACGGAAAGCAGCCCGGGACGAGATGCTCCTGAGCAGGGGAAGAGTGCCGCCAAGGGGACAGCGGCGGCCCTGACTCTGCCCGGCATGGCTTCAGGGGAAAGCCGAGACGAAAAGCTGCCGGAAGCCCCTGAGCAGGTGCAGAGGGCCTTTCCTACAGCAGGGGGAAGTTAAAGAGCAACAGAGCGGTCAAGGCCTGGAACTCACTCCCTGACTCTGTTGTCACATCCTCAAACAACCCCCCCCACCACCAAAAAAAATCAAACCTTTAACCTTAAACTGTTTACCTCTCTCCATTCCTAAAAGGTCTGTAAGGGGGCATAAGCACACCAGCCTGTCTACTATCCATCTCCTACTGTTCCCATTTATTTGTTATGCATATACTTATACCTGTTTATACTTACATGGTTATATGTTATGTTCATACTTGTTTTCTCATACATGCTTGACAAAGTAAAGTAAAAAATAAAGTAAAAAGTAAAGTAAAAAGTAAAGTAAAAAGTAAAGTAAAAA